TGGAGGACGGACTCCACACGAGAAAAATGGGCACAGGGCGTCAGCGATTGGGAGGGAGGTGGACGCCGGAAGGGACAGGGCTGTCTCCAGACAGCCTCGCCCGTGGCCCGGCAGGCCCAAGATGGCCGGCTGCCCCCCTCGAGCTGCAGGCAGGTGCAGAGGTGAGCACGGCCCCTGCCCCCCCACCTCACAGACTGGAAGGCAGAGCCGGGTGGGAGCACCGCAGGACGGGCTCCTCCTTCTCTCCCCATCCCCCTGCCCCCACCCAGGGCCTGCTGGGGGGCTGTCCCCAGGCACCCACCCTCTGACCATGCGCCCCAGCCTGCCTGGCCTGCAGGATGTTTGCACGCTTTTATCACAGCCGGTTGTCAAACAGAGATGGAGTGCTCCGTGTGGGCACCTGGAGACCCGGCCGTGTGCCAGCTGCCAGGCCAGCCTTGCTCCGCCCTCAGCCGAGGGACTAGAGTCCTCTGCCCCGGACTGGCCCAGGGGGTGTGAGCGTGGGTGGGTGCGGCCCCAGGAAAGTCCTGCTTGCTGGGAGCTGGGCAACAGCAGCCCAGAGCCACTTGCTCACCCCCAGAGGAGACTCCTGGATCCTGGCTTAGATCCACGCCAGGAGCAGGTGCTCAGGGCCTCGGACCTGTTAGGGAGCACCTGTGCAGGACTTACTTTATCCAGACTTTACTTCTTTGACTAGTTTTAGACTCACGGCAAAGTTGAGAAGTAGAGATTTCCCAAATACCCCCTCTTCCCCCTCCCCACACCCCATTACCAACACCCCCCTCTGGAGGAGAAATCTAACAGACAGCGAACCTGCAGTGAGATATCATCACCCAAAGTTCAGACTTGATGTTGGGGTTCACATTTTTTTTTAACATATTTATGTATACAAGAGCCGGGGAACAGGCCAGAGATGCAGGGGGCGATTGATTCACCAGGGACAGAGTGGGGAGTAGAACAAGCAGATCCACTGAAATCCACTGCTGAGGGGCGCAGTGGGGAGACAGGAGAGGTCTGCTGTGCCATGTGGGTTGCTCCCTGGCTGTCCGAGGATCGAACTTGTGCTGCAGAAGGTGCGGACAGCTTCATAGCGCCGTACTTAACCCCTTGCACCACCAGGGAGGCCCTTGTTTGGGTTCACTCTTGGTGGTGTATGTCCCATAGGGTTGGCCACGGTGCAATGTGTGTACCCACAGTCACATGACAGTGTTTTCACTGCCCTAAAAATCTCTGTTCCACCTGGTCGCTCCTCCCCCCAAAACCCTAACCCCCACTCGCCTATTGTGTCCATAGCTCTGCCCTCTCCAGAAGCATGCGGCCTCTTCAGATTGGCTTCTTTCCCTTAGTAATACGCACCGGAGGTTCCTACGTGGCTTTTCCAGTCTTGGTAGCTGCTGAGCAGCCACTGTAGGCCGGGAAGCGTCGCTGTCAGTTCTTGGCAGACAAGTAAAGGAACTTTGGAGGCCTCGGTGGAGTTTCCACGTCTTTAACACCGAACAAGGGAGACAACAGCTGCAGCCCCTCCCTCCGAGTGACGTTGCCCTTTTATCCCCTCCCTTCTGGGCCCAGGTGTGTGTAGTTCCACATGTGCCTGCCCAGGCTCCCTGGGCCAGGTGTCCATCATCAGGGAGGACAAGCGCCTTCCTAAGGAGGCCAGTAGCGGGAAGGGGCCAAAAACCTGATTGATTCATTTACCTACAGTGACTCGTTTCTTTTCAGTGCTGAATAATATTCCACGGTCCGGGTGGACCCATTTATACACCCCTACTGGGGGACATCTTGGTTGCTCTCAAGTTTTGACAATTATGACTGAAGCTGCTGTAACCAGGGCGGGAAGGTTTTTGTGGACACGTTTTTAACGCCTTCAGGTAAACACCAACCAGCCTGACGGCTGGAACGTCTCGTCTCATTTTGTAAGGACCTGCCATGTCATCTTCCCGCGTGGCTGTGCTGCGTCTCACCCCGCCAGCAATGAAATGCCCCCATCCTCACCCGCGTTTGGTGTTGTCCTTGTTCGGGATTTGGCTGCTCTAACAAGGACGGTATTTCATTGTTATTTTACTTTGCATGTCCCTGATGCCCATATGTCTGTCCACATCTTCCGCCCATTTCTAAATTGGATGGCTGGTTTTCTTATCACTGAGTTTTAGGAGTTCTTTGTATAGTTTAGGTAACAGTAACAAGGTTTTTTTTTTTCCCATATTTCCCCCCAGTCTGTGGTTTGTCTTCTCATCTCTCAACATCTACAGAACAGAATCGTAGTGAGCTGATCAGGCGTTTCTTTCACAGACCCTACCTGTGGCATGTAGCTGAAAGCCATCACCATGGCCAAGGCCGTAAGAGTTTCCTCCTAAGTTGTCTCCTAGGGCCTCTGTAGTTTTGTCTTTTGCGTGTAGGCCTGTGATTCATTTTGAGCACATTTTTTGGTGAAGGGTTAAAGATTTGTGTAGTGATTCATTTTGGAGGGAAGCTCTGTAACCCTCGAGTAAAATGTACACAGAGTTGTTTTTCCTCAAATAGTCCCAGCGACACGCACCTGTGAGTTCCTTCCCTCTCCTCTCTGAAGGCGGCCCGAGCACAGGGTCTCGTGAGAGCCTTGCTGGTGAGTTTTAAGCTTTCAGGGCCTGAAGGATCACACCTCACCCCTGCAGAAGCCTCTCCTCGCTGCCTAGATACTGAGCTGCTAAAATCCTTGCGCATTTTCATGTCCCAAATTCCCCTGGTCAGCAATTGAGGTCTTGACATGTGGTAAGAAGAAAGGAGAAAGCTAGCCCTCAAAGGAAACAGGGAAAAAAAAACCCAGCTAATTTGTACTATTTTAGTCATTTAGGTTTTCCTAAAATTGTTTCCAGTGGGGCAAAGCAGCCAGGTCATGTGACAAATGGAGAGCGAGGTGATGGAAACCTGTAACTTGTGTTGCTGGAAGGCTCCAGAACACAGGGCTGGTGCGCACCCGGGGTGAGGGGCTGCGGGGCTCCACTTCCCTTTCTATGAAGAGTGGCATGAAAGGAGCAAAGCTCAGAAGAATACCCCACTCAGGCCACTGCCACGCTCCCTTCCGGTTTTCCCACGTCAGCTAACCCTAGACTCCGGTGTGCATTGCTGGGGCTCTTTCAGGAAAAGCAACTTTTTTTCTAGTGACTAAAAGAAGAGCCACGCACCAAGGCCTAATAGCCCTCCTTACGTCTGACAGTTTGGAAGGGAGGCCCGTGGAGTTCCTCTTCAACGGCAGAGCCCAAGAGCAGGACGCGGAAAGCCCAGAGGTCTCCCCGGTGCTGCCCTGTCCCCTACCACACAAGTGCTGGGAAATTTGGATCTCAACAGGAAACAGGTGGCACCATCAAAACAGGACATTCAGAGGATTTTTATAAAGGGGTGGTTTGCCAAGGCAGGACACAGGGTTGCTGAGGGGCCAGCGCTGCAGTTCCCCAAGGGACAACCTGTGGCCCTGGGCCCCCAGAGAGGAGCTGCCCGCTTGATGAGACGCGGGAGCCAGGGGACCTTCCATTGTCCCCAGGCCGCACAGGGTCAGGAGGCCACAGAGGTGCCCCCGGGAAGTGAAGGGGGAGCACGGGTCTGAGGGGCCACACAAGACACCCGCACTGGGTGTCCTCAAGTGCCAGCCATGTGGGGCTCATCGGTGCACATGTCAGAGCAAAGGCCGTATTTTGGTGGAACATTCTGGCAAGGGAGGCCAACAAAGCATAATAATCTGGTAAAATAAGTACAGCTGAGAAGGAGGTAGATGGAGGTAAACATGATGCTCTATCTTCTGAGCCACCCCCTCGCCGATGCTGTGCAAGTGACTGGGCAACACAGGCCCTGGGCAGCTGCTGTGGAGGTAGCACTGGGCCAGCTGCTAGAGCTCTGAGGGGACAGGCTGTGAGGAGGGGTAGGGAGTCAGGATCAGAGTCTGGGGTAACCCCTCGGGAGGTCGGTGAATTCGCGGGCCAAAGTCAAGCTTTGAGGCAGAAGAGCCCAGTGACAGGGAGGGGTAGGGGCAGCAGGACTCGGGCATCTGTCAGGTGGGGGAGCCCAGCCTGTCCCTCAGGGCTCCCGGCTGTGGCCCCAGGATTGGAGGGAACAGACCTGGTTGCCTGGTTCAAGAAATGGACTTCAGGGCCTATCAAATCTGGGTGCAGCAGCTGGACATGCTCAGGCCGGCTGTTTCTCTCAGAAATCCTGATGAAGTGAAACAGTTTTCTGAACCAAATACTTTGTCAACCCCTGAAAAACTAAGAAAATCTAAGATTTTAGGTCTGAAACTGTTCACCTGATAATAACTGAAAAATTATTCAGGGTGCCTTGACGATCCATTACTTGGAGGGTGTCACACACTTGCGGGGGAGGGAAGCCAGAGGAAGAAGCCCTGGGACACGCGGTGGAAGCAGCGGGAGCGAGGGGGCTTCCCAGCTGTGCTGTGTGACGCCTCAACCTGCTATCCTGACAGATGGACGGAGGGACGGGCAAGAGGATCGCGACACGCTGAGTAACAAGAAACGACATATTACGAAATGGACATATAAAATTTACTCCCTTTGGTTTAAAATACATCAGCATCAGCACAATTACAAACAAGCAGTATCGCAAAACAATGGAAAATACTATCCAGTGACCTCTTATCATAGGAAAGCAGTCATTTAGTCCACATAGCTCATTAGAAGGTCGTACATGAGGATGTCACCACCAGTCGCTACACACACGAAGGATCTACCATCTATCAGCCCAACCATAGTGTGATTTCACTTCCACTACAAAACCTTGCCTTTTAGAATTTTTATATATTTAAACGTTTACGGAACAGCTATTGTCAGTTATGGTCTCATATGGTTCACGAGTGCTCTCTAGAGACTGTCGCACCAGGTCCGGAGGGGACGGGCCCGGAGCTAACAGAAGCCGCGTCTCCGCGTGGGGAATGGGGCACGCGTGTGGCCCCTTGTGCCCAGCGTGTCTCTCCCCCGAGCCGCCCCTCTGGGGGTGCGCCTGCCCTGCCCCCCACCGCCCCGCATGCACCAGGCCCGGTCGCAACAGGGTGTTCTCTACAGGTCATTCTCTCTACAGTGCAGAAATCCCAGTAACATTCTGAAGAGCCAGCAGGTCTCAGCATCTGAGGAGGTCTTGCTATGCCCGGGTGCGCCCACTGGGCTCGGGAAGACGGAGGAAGCGGCTTGCTCTCTGCTTTGTTCACATCGTCAGAAATAACTTAACCTTTTATCTAGAAAGTGTTTACGGCCCACCTTATTGCATCTCCTCCCCCTCTGTACAGGCGCCACAGTATATATTATATATTCGTATCAGACACGTATGTACACATTTACAGACATGGCCTCGGAGTATTGCACTTACACCCAACGGGCTGCGCTCAGCCGGGTCCACCGTCACTCACAACGTTCTTTGGCAGCAGTCCTGGAGCTCGAAGAGGTCTCGGGGGAAGGTTTCACAGACAGGCCCCGTCTAAGCAAACGTCTCTGGGGCCGAGGGCAGACGGGGGGAAGGACACACCTTGTCCTGTCGCGGCCCCTCCCGCTGACCGCAGGGGCCAGCGCTGCCGATTCAGGCCGCCATGCCCGGCCTGTCTGCAAGCCCGGCCCGTCTCTCCGCTCTGAGCAGTCCTGCCCGCAGCGAAGAGACAAGGTAGAGACCCGAGGTTTCATAAATAATGGAGCAGGTATCCTAAAGGCTCCCAGAGTCCCTTAAATCGTGGGACAGAGTTTTCATTTTCAAGCCTAAGTATCTAGATCAGAAAATTCAAACATCATGGCGCGTGGATTTCTCTGTCATCTGGAAAACGCCATCTCCACCGCGAGGGAGGAGACCGTCCGACGGAGACCCGCGCCACCTCCCTGGCCCTGGGCGGGGCTGCAGGGGCCTAGATCTCGGTGAGGGTGAGCTTGTAGGAGCCCCCCGCTTCCTCGATCTGCAGCTGGAAGGTGTCCTCGTTGGAGTAGTGCTTCACAATGTTGTCGTCCATGTTCACCAGAATCCTGGGGGAGGCAGACAGACCACTCAGTCCCCACCACCGCGGCGCCAGCCCTGGCCTGCGCTGGCTCCGGCGCCGCAAATGACTGGGCCCTCCCTAAGCCTCAGTTTCCTCATTAAGTGCAACGGGGATAACAGCAGTGCCTCCATGACCCTGGGGGGACCGAGGAGGGGCTGAGTGGAGCCTCATAGCAGCGCGGGGCACCGTGAACAAGCCAGCTGGCTCACAACCCTCACACTCAGGCCACAGAGCCTGCCTCGGAGGAGGGTCAGTTAGATCCAGTCATGCGGGCTGAAGCTGCAGCTCCCTGACAAGTCACCTTCCCTTAAAGTCTTGTTGGACTGCTAAGTCCAGCCCTTCCTGCTAGGCCTATCTAGAAAATTTCAATTGGGTTTGCTCAGGAATAAAGCCAGGAAATTCTCATGCTGTACCCTGCTCGTCCAGGTCCAATAGCCCACACTCAACTTAAGCACAAAAGGACCCAAACCACTGATGGCTGGAGCAGGCAGCGAGGGTCTGTTTGACCACTTGGCCCAGCAGAGGGCCGAGACTGACCCTGAACCGTGAACTTGCCTGACCTGTTGCCTGACCTCGGGCAGGCATCAGGCTCTCTGGCCACAGCTGCCTTGCCCATAAACCATGACCAGCAACCCCATCTCCAGGGCAATGTGAAAATTAACACGTGGGATGCTGGATTAGCACCTGGTGGACAAGAGGGCAGGCCAGTGTCCCCCGGACTCTCCCAAGCCTCCTCGGGGGAAGGAGGAACTGGTGATCACTTTACTGCTCTCACGTGTGGGAAGAGCAAGTGACAATTTTACCTGAAAAAAATCCACAAAGCTGTCTTAAAAAAGTAGACTTAATTCGATGTGGGTAATTTAAGAAAAAATAAGTAGTGCGTCATGTTTCTGCAGCTGCGTCTAGACTGGGCACACATGTGTGCATCTCATCCGAGCTCTGGGGTGTGACATACTGAGAGCCACGAGGAACAGCAATGCTCACCCTTTTTTACATTTCTTGAATATCTTCCCAATCTTGTCATGGGGAACATCGTATTTGTCTGAGATCTAAAGAGCAGAGAGAAAGAATGACAACATGCTACTTCCGTGGCTTTAACCATCAACCTGTACCAACCTACTCATCCAGGGCAGGAGGTTGCTCAGCGTGTTTCTCAAGGCCCCAGGTCCTGGGAGGGGAGGGGTGCCTGCCTGGGAGGGAGCGGGAGCCTGGTCCTCGCACTCCCCCAGTTCACAGGTCTCGGGAAGTGGCCAGTCACAGGCTTCTCTAAGTGACTATTTCATAGAGAAGTTTGAAGTTTGTGGGGAAGCTGAGCAGGGCGGGCGGCATTGCTCGGCACCACACACTCCCCCTCTCTGCTTGTCAAGTGGGTGTGGACGTCTGCAGCGGACAGCAGGGGTCACGCTGACGTGTACGGCCACCTGCGTGTCCCTCCACCACAAGCACGAGGCCTGGCTGTGGCGTCACCAACAGCGACACCGGAGCGGCTCTGACGCGCGCAGCGTGCCGTGGCCGTTCAAGCTCCAGCCGTGCCGCGGTCATGTCTTTTACAGACTGTTGTTTCAGCTAGAGAACTATGTTGATTTCCCACAGTCCAGAGCACGATCAAAGTCCATGACCGCAAGCCACAAACTGGGTCTCCCCTGAGAGCAAAGAGGGTTGTCCCAAATCCAGGCCAGGCTGGGGGTGGGGGGCTGCAGCCCCCCCACACTCTATGAGCCACACGGACAAGTGACATCCCTGTGACATCCCTGTGCTGTGAACTGAGGGGCGGTCCCATCAGGGCAGAGAGGCTGAGCAGCTCCAAGGACGAGCAGCTGAGCTGGCTGGGAGGACGAGCCATCCAGACCACCCCTGATGGCGGGAGGCACCCACCCTCCGTGTGCAGAGCAAAGCTGGGGCTGCGCAGAACACCTCCGAGACTGCTCACAATCTAACAAAAATGCACCCACCCCCCACATCCAAGCTCCCATCACACAGACACGCACATCTGCCAGTATTGGGGTGACAAGACATACATTCATGGTCCCCCCGGCCCCAGGGGATGGATGGGCTGCGGACAGGCCGCGACTGCCCCCCGTCTCAGCCTCTTCACGCTCGCCTGTCCTTGCAGAATCAAGAGTCTGCGTGATTCTGAGGGAATGAGGAAGGGCTGTCAGAAGACCGGGTAGGAAGAGGAGCCAGGAGAAGTTTCAGGAGGCAGGGAAGGCAGCGTGCAGGTGGGCAGGGGACAGGGGACGCCGTGAGCGCAGAGCGTCCCTGGGGAGAGCAGCCACTGCTCCCCCAGCCACTGTGACCTCACCCGCCTTAGTTTTCTTTCTTTTTAAGATTTTATTTCTTTATACAAGCACTGGGTACAGTCAGAAGCGCGGGAGGGTGAGAGAATTCACCAGAGCCAGAGCAGGGAGCAGAGCAGGCAGAAGGACCGAAGGACACTGCTGAGGGGAGCAGCGGGCGGCAGGAGGGGTCTGCGCGCCATGTGGGACCCTCCTCCGGTGGCCGGGGAGCAGCCGGGGATCGAACCGGCGCTGCAGAAGCCGCGGGCAGCTTCACAGCCCAGCGCTCAACCTCTGCGCCACCGGGGAGGCCCGCCTTAGTTTTCTTGATTGCATTGACCAGTTCCTGGAAAACGACATACCAGCTTCTCCGCCTGTTTGATCGCTGGCGCCTTCACTAGAACCTGAGCCCCACGTGGCGCGGTTTCCGTCACCTACCCCTACAACTCCAGCGCCAGCAGGTCCCACACTGCCCTCCACCACTGCAGCTGGCGGGTGTGGGGGGGTGTTCCCACCCAGCTAAGCACGTGAGTGAATCTTTGAGCTCAAAGATTCCTGTTTTATGGAGTGGGGTGGGAGGCAGGGTGAGAGGATGCAGAGTTCGGTGTAAGGAGCTGTTACTTGAATTCACCCTGGGGCAAAGCTAAAGAGACAATCAGCCTAGTGTCCTTTGGTCTCACAGATGTCCCAAAGGCACACTGGGGTCAGCTGGCTCATCAGCCCTTTGTAGAGACCCTGTAGAAAGGACCTCTGGTCACCACCGGTCACACATGTTCAGTGGTTCCCCGGTGCCCGGATGCTCAAAGGCAGACCAAGGAACCGCTGATTTGTGGCGATGTTTTTAGGATTTTATTTGATTGAAAATGTTTTTCGTTTGTCTGTAACCGGCTTGTTAAATGGCAGTCTCCCTTGAGCCAAGTATATAAGAGCTCCCCTGGGCCTCCCTGGTGGCACAAGGGGTTAAGCACAGCACTGTGAAGCTGTCCGCAGCCACTGCAGCACGAGTTTCATCCCTGGTCAGGGAGCTACCCACATGGCACGGCAGACCTCTCCTGACTCCCCACTGCTCCCCTCAGCAGTGTGTTTCAGTAGATCTACTGAGATCTGTTCTGCTCCCCACTCTGTCTCTGGTGAATCCTCTCACCCCTTCCCCCGCACCTCTGGCCTGTACCCCAGTTCTTGTATGCATAAATAATCTTTTAAAAAACTCCGCTATTTCATAGGGCGTCACAAATTCACTCACTTTAGGAGACCGGCCATGTGGAGTGAGTAGGCTACCGGCTAGCGTGCGGGGCAGGGCCGAGTGAGGGCCACAGTGGGGCCACGTGGCTGCGCACAGGCCGGGCGGGGCATGCAGGCAGGGGAGGTGTCAGAGGACTCAGAAAAACAAGGTGTCCGGGCAGTGAGACAGGACTGGCTCCACAGAAGCCCACGTGCTCTGTCCCCTGACTCTGGAGCATCGAGGCGCCGGCTCTACTTACAGCCTCCATCAGGCCCTTGAGGGACGGCGTGTTCAGCATCAGGGCGTCGAAGACCTCCTCCGACTCCTTGCGCACGTACAGCAGCACTGCCCGGCGGAGAGAGGAGAGAAAAGCCACTCACTCACACGAGCAAGTAAGAAAAAGGGTCACGGTCAAAATAAAGAGAGACACCGGTCCCCAGGAGGAACCGGGAGCACTGACGGGGGAGGACGCTCCCCTCAGCCTTGTGCCCGCCCCCTCCCCGCGAAGCCAGGAGCTGGCCAATGGGGGTCACCCCCAGAAGCCAAACGGGGCAAGATTTGAGCAAATCATGCTTGTGAGAATTCAGAACTCACCTCTATTTTACCACCCCCCCACCAGCCCCCGGGAAATCTAAGCCCACACACCCCTCTTGGGCTCCTCCGCCCGGGGCAGCTTGGCAGGAGGTGGAATCACAAAGTCATCTTCTGATCCAAATGGCCCCCTTTTCAAGTTGGACCTGCCGACCGGAAAACAGGCAATTAGTGGCTTCAGCTTAAGTCCCTTGGGAAGCAGAGCAAGGCGGTGAGTCACCAGGCTCTGGACTTGAAATGACTGTCACCCTTTATCTGGCCCAGCTTCCTGGGCTGGTGCACGAGACCCTGGGACCTCCGAAGGCACTGGCTGGTCCCGGGCTCGAGCGGAGCCTGGCGATGAGGTCTGGCCAGGCTCCCTGCTGACACCGGATGGAGCTGCGTCCTGGGGCGAAGCCTGACAGAGCAGGCAGGGCCTGTGATGTGTGCGGGGGCGTCACAGGAGAGCGTGTCACAAGGAGGCTGTGGGAAAAGGCCACGCCAGCTTCCAGGGGAGATGGACCCACAGGGCAGGCTGGGCACAACGTGGGGCCCCTGCCTGTTAGGCCTGGAGGCCTTGGAGACTCTATGCTGTGAGTGCTGGAATCTGCTGAGGATATGTCCTCCGAGGTGGGGGGAGACTCGGGGGGCTCCAGACCAGAAGAACCTGGTGGGGCTCTTTGTGGACAATCACAGCATCTGAGCCTAAAGGGACAGAATATGGAAATAAACCAGGAAAAAGGCCTTTGAAAAAAGAAGAGGCAAGACGGTGGGGACTGGCCACCACAGAGCAAGTTATGGGGTGCTCAACGCAGTGAGGTGCAGTGGGGCTGGCAAGCAAACAGTAAGTAGCTGAAAATGAAGAGGCGAGTGGTTGTGAGTAGAATGCTCATGTCCAGGATAGTCTGCCTCAGCTCCGGCCCCCAGGAAAGCACCTGTGGGTTTATCTCTGCAAATGTGCGTGGTGAAGAGCCAGTGGGGACCACTCGGGGGAGGGAACGGGCCTGGTGTGGCCGGGCACTGGACGGGGGTGGGGGGAGCACAGCAGAAGCTACACAGCACCCAGGGGCCGGATCTGGGTTCTAAAACCCATTCTCCACCAAAAGGCACCGGATTCTTGGGGAAGTTGATTCTAGGGCTGGAGAAAGGAGAACACAAGTGCCTGGAACATGAGTGTGGGAAGCGAGGGGCACCCCAGGAACTGGGGGTGGGGGCAGTCAAGGGTCCTGAGAGCAAGCCTGGGGGACAGTCTGAGCCACGCAGAGGACAGACAAGGATGGATGCAGCTTATTGAACAGAACTGGAAACCGTGAGTCTGTGCTGATATAAACAAACAAGCTTGACGTGTGGTGAACGATAAGGCCTTCACACAGCTCCAGAGCACCTGCCCACGTAGAGCACCTGCTCTACGAGGGGACAGCACCATCCGGGAGGAAGAGGGCAGGCCCACCTCCACCAGGAGACAGGCGTGAAGAACGCCGGCAGTGGGTGCGTGACGTGTACAGACGGACCGACAGGGTCCCCTGGCATTAGCCTCGACCCATCTACTCCCGAGAAGACGACAGACCCGCTGCGGGTCACATGGCCACTGCCTGCGCCTTCGGTGGCGCCGGGTCCAGGAAGCAGGAGATACTGACGGCCCAGACGGCAGGAGACTCGGGGGCGGGCGGCACCGCCTGCGTCTCAGGCGGCCCTTCCCGCTATAAAGTGCATCGGGAAAGGCTGCGAAGCCCAAGTGGGGACCAGGCCTGGTGCTGACATCCGGGGCCCACATCCTGGCCGAGACTTGAGCTCTGCGGGAGAACGTGCCTGTGTGCAGGAAACACCCGCGAGGGGCCCCGGGGCTGGACACTCCCCTTCAGGGGCTCAGGGAGAAGCGCGTTCACTGTGTGGCGTTTGCGGATGTTCCGTAGTGTAAAATTGTTTCTAAATGAAAAGGATTTATTAAGGCAAAACAAAATAAAAATCTTACCCTTCACCCTCCAGTTCTTCTGAGGCAATGGGGAGGACCTGAGACAAGAAAAAAAAGACAAACAGCTTTTCGAGGATGCATTAGGATGTCGCAGCCCACAAGCGACTCCTGAAACGGAAAAACGGGAAGTGGACCCACCTGAAGCAGACCCTTCTGCAAACCCTTATTTTCCAATAACCAGATTCTCCGCCACTCGAGAACCCTCCCTCGGGGCTGAATCTAGACCCACGGCCGTTCACGTGGGCAGGGAGCTCACCGCAGGCCGCGGCCACAGCACCCGGGGCCGGGCGGCCCCGCAGCCTAGAGCTGCTACCAGCAGCCTGTCAGGGGCGTCAGCCGAGCCCAGAGCCCCGAAGCTTCTCCTTACAGACCGAACACCCCACATGGCTCCCCGTGGGCCTCTGAGAAACCTCTCGTCTGGACACGCCTATCTACACACAGGGACTGCCTTTTCGGAGTTTCCTGGGGCGGGCACGGGGAGCCCGCCCAGCCCACTCACACCCCTCTTACTCGGCTCTGCTCCGGCTGGGCCGGACCCTCTGCTCAGCCTCCGCTTAGTCGCGGCCCACGTGCCCGGGAGGGCAGCGCGCGAGAGCAGGCGTGAGCCCCGCTCCTGAGGCCACCGCGGCCGCCTGCCCCAGGTTTCTCTCTACCTCCTCCCCCTGGTCCGGCCCTCAGAAGTTAAATCCTCGAGACCACAGACTCGAGCTCCAAGCTCTGCACTGTTCCAGCGTCTCTTGAGGAAGCTAAGCTCCATGTGAACACAGGAGACCAGACTCCAGCCGACGGTCTGGCTGTGCTTACGTCTCCCCGTGGGCAGCGCTGGACCACACCTGGCTGCTCAGACCTCCCGCAGCCCCGGCCCCTGCCCCGGCCTCCCTGAAGCCCCGGCCCAAGGCCCTGCACCTACGTGGCTGCCCCGCTGCAGGTTGGCGAAGTGCACGTCAGGGATGAAGAGGACGGGCTGGGTGTCCAGGTCGATGAAGGGCTTGAAAACCGTGATGTCCATGCGCTTGTGAGAGGGCAGCAGCGGCACTTTCACGTCGGAAACTGAAAAAGAACGAGGATGCCACCGTCAGTGCCCTCTGCGTCCACAATGGCCGCGCCACAGCCTTTCCCACGAAGCTTGAGAAACAGGGGTCGGAGAACTTGGGTCACGGCGCTGGGACTGTGCAATCACAGCTCTTGTGACGGAGGAGGCGCCGGGGCGCCTGTGTCCACCCTCAAGCCAATCGAGCGTCTTTTCAAAGCCAGAAGGGAAGCGGGACCTTTTAATACAGACGCGCGGGAAAGCTCGGGCCAAGTGCCCTTAGTGTCTGTCTGAAGGGCCAAGACTGACAGGCTCCCCCCCCCGCCGAGGCGCTCACACCTCCGCTGCGGGGCTCAGCAGCGACTCCCAGCTGGGCTGCCGACCTGGCTCCCGAGCCTGGGGGCTGACGGCCTTCGGCCTTCCCCTGGTCCAGCCACAGCCGCCCTCATCCCCCTCGTCTGCCCTGACGTCCCGAGTGAGAAGCTGCGGGGACTGAGCCACCCCAGGGGTGTGGGCCTGACTCTGCTGCCAGAGGGGGACCCGTGGGTGCGGCCCCACCGCCCACGCACTGCAGGCGCGCTCAGCTGGCACGGGAGAGCTTTTCTTCCCCATAAAATAACTAAAGCACAGGACTGTGGCTATGACTACCGGTTACATTAAAATAAGAATAAAAACCTTCCCTGATGAAATACCCAAATGGAAGGCTCAGAAGAGTCTGCACGTGCTCGAACATGACTCGTGAGAAAACTGCACCACCCTGAATTCCCAGGGGTGCTGTCATCATTAAACAACACTAAATGCAGCTTAAAAAAAAAAAACAAAAATTTTCGTTTTTATGAACTGTTATCGTCAGTTGTTCAGGTGGAGGGTGTGGTTTTTCAGGACTGGACCAGCGGCCCGAGCAAGAACCAACTGTCCAGCTGACCAGGACGCTGCAAAAGCTCAAGAATGTTTCGTGTGGTTCCCCAAGGAAGCCACGGAGTCATTCCTGGCGTCTGTGGCTGGCACTGAAGCCGAGGCCACCACTTCACAGCAGCAAAATCACACCCACGAACCAATCCCCGGCCTGAAAATTCAAACCACCACCTAAAGGAAGGTCGAGAGGCCCGGAGGAAACGGCTCTACTTACAGGCGTTCACCTGGGAGCTGGGGTCAGTGCACTTGCCTTTTCTCTTGCTCTGTTTTCTTTCTTCGTCCCTGATTTTCCGCTCAGCTCCCTGCAGGTCAAGGGGAGACAAGACAAGATTCTGCTTATCAATCGGCCCTGCCGGGGAGGGGGTCTCCTCTCAGAAGGGGGTCTTTCACGCACTATATCCACGGAGCTTCTTGTAGTCGCCCCTCTAAAGCGATTTCTACAACTATTTGCAACTACATGAAATCACAGGGAAAAACAGACTCAAGAAACAAACTGAGCACAACTCCCCCAGCAGTGGATGCTAACTGAGAAGCTGAGAAAATCTGCTCGTGCCCCTCACGGCCTCCAAGACCTTGAGGGGTTCTCCTGTGGCCTGGGGGACACAAAAAGGAAGGAAAGAATCCACGCGGACTCTGCTCTGAAAAAGTCAGGGCTTCGGGGCCTCCCCGGTGGCGCAGTGGTTGAGCGCTGGGTTGCGAAGCTGCCCGCAGCCTCTGCAGCGCCGGTTCGATCCCCGGCTGCTCCCCGGCCACCAGAGGAGGGTCCCGCATGGCGCGCAGACCTCTCCTGCCGCCCGCTGCTCCCCTCAGCAGTGTACTTCGGTCCTTCTGCCTGCTCTGCTCCCCGCTCTGGCTCTGGTGAATTCTCTCACCCTCCTGCACTTCTGACTGTGCCCAGCGCTTATATAAATAAATAAATAACTGTTTAAAAAATATATAAATAAATAAAAATAAACGGGCCTTCTTTAAAAAAAAAAAAAAAGTCGGGGCTTCGTCCAAGGACGTGGCATCAACTACGGGGCACCTGCGGCCAACCGCCAACTCTCAAAAGCAATAATTTGACTGAAACGTGCAGCGTCACGTAAAGGAGCCGGCGCCCCCAGCACTCGGAGGGCAGCTATCCTACATAGTACATTTCACGGTATGTGTAAATACTGACCAGATCGAACACCTGAAAATCAAACGTCACTTATGTCTTTAAAAAAGTGATAATGGACTTCGCTTCCACTCAAGATGGAGTGACAACGACCAGATTTTCCCTGCGTGCTGGAGCAGCGGAAACCAGGCCTGGTGCCTGGAACAGGGGTTTCTATGGCCCGCTGGCAACAAAGGGCAGTGACCCCTGAGAGGCAAACAAGCAAGGTGAGCCCCGGAGCTCCCACCACCTTCCCTAGTGTCCAGGCTGCGGCCCCGGGTGGCAGGGGTGTCCAGGGGTCTCCTCCATCCAGCAGCTGCAAGGCCACAGGGCTGAGCAGCAAAGAGGGGCTACCAGACAAGAACACAGCGACCCAGGGCCTCCCCAGCACTCGTGCCAAGAGGTGCACACTGCGAGGAAGTGACCAGAGGGAATGGAAAAAAGACTAGCGCCTGCGCAGCGCTGTGTGGTTCGCCTGCAGGCACTTCAAGATGCGTCCCGACGCCGGCCGCTGCCCACACCCGCGGCAAGCTGAGGGGCCACGAGGAGGGTGCACAGCCGGGCTGCGGCCCACTCCGACTCTGCCAGACGTGCTCTACAGAATGCACTCACCCCCCGCCCTTTCCATTTTTCTAATAAAATGAGTCAGTTCCCCTCCCCGGGTCATGTGCCTCTCGAGGGGCTCACCGCGCGGCGAATGTAAACTAGCACTATGGCCACTGCGCTCTTGCTGAAGTGGCTCAACACAGGGAGCCCCTGGCCTCTCTCCGCGGGAGGGCGTCCCCAGGTGCCGCGGCCACTGTCACCTTGTCACAGAAGACTTTGATCTGGCAGAAGGCGCGGTGCACCGGCTTGTTGCTGCGGTTGTTGTAGCTGTAGGTGTCGATCTGGATGTTGAGCGGCAGGCCCTTGACGCCCTTCTGGGAGGAGAAGTCTGTGCTCAGGCAGTTCACGGAGATGAAGACCTGCGGGCGGGAGAGGCCGTGAGGACAGCGGCGGGTCACCGAGAGCCGCCCCACAAGGCTCCCACGGGCTTGACAGCCGAGCTCGGCTTCTCGTTCAAAAGAAGCATCTATTCAGAGAGGGAGCAAAGGCTTTACTGTAAGTCATAGGAGTGGCAGGCTTCGAAGGGGGAACACAGATGGCAATTTTGACCCTGTCGATGTTGCTTCCAGAGAATTCTACCACATGCAGCAGGGCCCGGGGTCTTTGCTGGTGCGTTTCTGAATGTGACCTGTAGTCACATTCTCTCCAGCTGTTGAAGGAAACTCTCTGGGCCTCTGCCCGTGTTTCCCCTGTGGTTCCCCAGATCCCAGTGCTCCGGAGTTTATGGAATCACCGGGTCACATCACCAAAGTGGACCAGAGGCGGTTACTTAGAGGAATGCAGGGGAGGCTCTGCCCAGCAGGTGCACAAGTCCTGTTGCTCCCTGTGTCTGGGCTCAGGGTTTGAGCCGGTCCCCACAGGGTCACCTCGCTTCACACTTCACTCCTGGCGTGTGAGCACCACACAGTGGATGCTACTGAAACTGCAGCTTCAAAAATGAGGTTGGCACAGTGCGAAGGGCACCTGGAGGCAGCTTCCCCAGCCCCTGGCCCCAACCTCAACACAGATGAGCCACAGAGAGCGTGGGGAGCTCGGGCTGAGCCAAGTCCTAGAGAAGGATGTGTGTCCGCCTGGACGGGGAAAGAACTACAGGATGCGGTACAGAGAAGAAAGGGGTGTGGAGAAGGGGTCAGGACAAAGGACCCTTTCCAGAAGGAATGCCACACGCGGTTTTTATTCTTCTGTAGTCGCCATGCTATTCTAAGTAAGAAAAGACCAAAACATTGTGGAAAGATGGAGAACCTGTCCAAGCAAACAGCTTTAGCCGTCACGCTCAGCTCGCTCTCCTCAGCGTCCTGGGACACGCTCCTGCCAGCCTGTCCATGCCTCCTTCTGCTTCCCTCCTGTCCAGCCCCCTGCAGAGTGCCTCTCTGCCATTCTACATCAACTCGGGTCCCTCCCCAGGACACCCCCTGCACTCCGGACTTGGGTGTGGAGCGGAGAGCAGAGACACCAGGCACGCAGCATTTGAGGCACCAGGACCCTTGAGGGCGTCCCCTCCTGGGGCATAGAGTCACCACCCTCTCCAGGGCGGGGGGGCACCGCCTCCTGCAGGTGAAGCTGGACAGGTGTCTTAAAGGGTCCCTGGAACAAAAAGCAAGGGCCTGAGACTCACATCAGCCCAGGGGGCCTCTCTCCCGGATCAGCTTTGGCCCCCGTGAGCATCGGCTTGTCCTCACTCCCCAGAGCGCCTGCCATTCTCGCGTGTGCTTATCTCTCTGGCTGGACCATAGCCACCACCGGCCTAGCCGTCTTGTCTGCTCTGCACCATTCGATGCTACTAGGCCTGCCACATGTCTGCTATGATTATTTTCCGTTTAGCTCATTTTCAGTACATAAGCAAAGTGCATTAAAGTCTTGACACTTAACTCTAGCTATGTCGGCAAAAAGTGGCACTCGTGAATTTCAAATGCATGACAGAAACTTGGTACTTCGATTTTCTGTCTTTGGCTGTGTTTGAAAAAAGCCCCTCGTCTGCAGTCCACAGAAACGAGGTGCAGAGACAGTCTATGGGACAGACGGAGACAGACCCCAAGACAAATGTCCACGCAAGCACCTGGGCACAGACACAAACAGCTCATTTCTCACTTTAAACCTGAAAGACAAACCTGAACTTTCCTCTCATTCCCTCACGGCGCACGGCTCGATTCCTAGCTCAGAAACAGCTGCCTGGGAAAGTTACACTTTACGTCGCTCAACAATTTCAGGAAGTCTTTGACCCAAAGTGACAGTCCCTTCACAAGAGGATTTCACAGTAATCCAACCTAAAACCTCGCTCCCCCTGCTCCCCAGTTTCAAGTTTCTATTCAAAGCAGAAATAAGCAGGAGCTTACTGGGGACCCGGGCGAACACGGGCCGGGGAGATGCGGCCCTCGCTGTGGTTCAGGATCATTCGCCATCACTTCCACAGACACTTTCCTCCTGCCTTATTGATCAATTCTTTCTACACTGGGCAATTTCCTAAACGTCTCAGTGAAAACCGCATGGCATTCCTAACTCAGCATGTACAGCACCACCCTGTCTAGACAGAAACAGACATCCCAGCAGACACAGACAAAGAGGCAGACTCAAGCGTGCTCGGCCGGGTCACAGGTGCGGGGGGACAGCGGGCTGGCCCCCCCAAAAGGGGAACTGGGAAAATGCTCACAAAGTCGCTGACAGCTGGTCCAGAGCAAGAGAAGCAGGATGGTCTACAAGCCATTCTACTGTATGGCCATACTACATACTACACACTACATACATACTACAAGCCACACTACACGCAAGGATACCAATGAAAGTAATCATCAAAGCCGCTTACATACGTTAGGAATGTTTCAAAGCAGCGGTTCTCGAAGCGCGGCAGCAGTACACCCCACTGCCTTGAGCGGAGGCTTCACGCCAACTCAGGAGAACTTGGGGCGTTGGGGGCTGCAGCCCTTCTTGCTGCTCTGGCCATGTCTGGAGGTTCAGCTCTCATGGCCTGGGGGGGCTCCAGGCAGTAGGCCTATTCACCGGGGCTCCCCAGGTTATTCTAGAGAGCAGCCAGGAAACGGGGCACCCCTGTCACTTACACACTGTGACCCACAAAAGGCCTCCTTGGACTCTGAGTCCTTTCTTTAAAGAGTCTGGATATTCTTACATGACCGTCTGTGTATCCCACTGGCTTTTGCTTTCACTGAAACAATCCACACAGAGGCACAACCCTTTCAGGTAAGAGTATGTGTTTCATCAGCCCCCTCAGCCTGGATGCCCCAGAACTCACCAGGCACAAGCAAGTGACAGGAAACACCCCCTCTCGGCCACTCCCTGCACACCTTCCTCGGGGGACAGCAGTACCCTGAGGGGTGGCCCCTTGCAGGCTCCCAGGGATGGAGACCACCCCCCAGCATGGGCCTCACCATGCCCTGAATTGAGGAGGGAGGCGCGCGGGGCGAGGAGAGGACGTGTGTGACCCGGGGGCAGTGTGAGTGGGCACAGAGGGCTTCAAACCTACTTTCCAAGCCACGGGCCAGCCGGCTCCTCTGCCCCAGGGCCCACTAGCACGTGCGCCCGCTCTGGGGAGCGTGAAGAAGGCCCCCCGTCAGCTCCTTTCTTCAGAGAGAGTGGAAGTTCTTACTTGGACCTACAAGTGTCCCATCCGGTGAGTTTTTAATTAGAAAAAGCTGTCAACAGAGGCACAGCCCTATCAAAGAAGAGAGCAAATGGGGGACTTGATCCAGTCAATAAAGTCTCATAACTTTATTGGCACAAACGCATGGCAGCTGGCCCGCCGGGCGCTCCCGTCTGCCGGCTCTGATGTGGCCCGTTTGCCGGCCGCTCAGACGAGCTGGCCCTGACATCACCGAGCGTGGCGGCCAGCGAGGAAGTACCAATTCCCTCTTGTCACTCAGTATTCCACCTGCCACACAGGCGCTGCCAGGAGCCTTCCTTAAGGAAGGCAGCGGCTCCCAGACGGGCGAGGGGAGCCCCGCTGGCTCCTGAGGGGGCAACCACTCTGCAGGCTTTGTTCTCAGCCTGATGACCACCGAACGGCAGCCTACCAGCTGACCCCACCCACGAGCAGCGCATCCGTCACATCACCCACATGTGCCCACATGCTAGCGTGCACACACACAGCACACACACACACTCACACCACACCCTACAGTCTCACTCTGCCGTGAGAGCGGCTGCGGCGACATCCTTCTCTGGAAGGTACAAAGATGTCTGCGATGGAGCCGAGAGCTAGAAAGACGACTCTCCTGTTTTCATGCTTCCTTGAAACTGATTCTGAGAAAAAGTTAATTTTATGCAATCAGATCCTAACTCTCAAATGATGAGCAACTAATGCTCCCACCCAAAATCACCAGGAGAGGAAGAAAACCTCCCCACAAACATCAACTACCGAACAGGCTGAAGATGCGCAGCGCGAGTCCTTCCTCCAGGCCGCCGGTTCCTAGACGGCTCCTCACTCCTGGCGGAGCCCCGCTCTCGGGCCTCTTCACGAGATTCCACTTGGCGCCCAAACCTCACTTTGCAAACAGGAGGCAGACGACAGAGTGACGTGATCTGTGTTCTCAAAGGCTGATTAACCTGATTAACCTACACAGACTGTTTTATTCAAACCCCGACAGGCACAGAAAGCAGCGGGCGCTCCCAGGAAGCGCAAAGCAGCTGAGGTTGGCGGCACTTTCTCCACCCCACTCCTCCGGGGAGGCGCGCACTGCCCACGCCCCGCCCGCGTCCCGCTGAGCCTGGGGAGAAGGCCCCCAAGCAGGAGTCTGCACCCCCGTTCACCTCCCCATTTCGGGTTTTCTCATTCAAGCCACAAGCCCTGGTGAGAGCTAGCGCAGCCCGGACGGCACTCAGCCAGGAGCCTCACGCGCCAGTTTAACGTGTGGGGACAACGTACAGAGGTTCTCCCAGCCCTGCCTCATAGTTACAAAACTGTAAGGAATTGAGGCAGAAGCTACATGACGCCTAAGTCCACGCCATCAGGGTATTTTTCATGAACAAGCTTTTTTTTTTTTACATTTTTCAAACAGTTGCCACAGCGACGGTGAGCTAGTTCCATATCATCATGCGCACAAAGAACTTGCCAAATAGCAGGGCGGTGCTCTTTCCCCACTGAGAGACTCCAGTTTTGCACATTTTCTGACAGAGCTGCTGTGACTTGACAATGGTTTCCTCGGGACGTCCGTAATGGTTTTCTCAATAAGTGGTTTTGTCAAATGTGAGCCCCTGGCTTCACCGAAGACAACATGGACCAGCTTGAATAAAGGATAAAGCTTCTGGGGCCTCCCTGGTGGCGCAGGGGGTTAAGCACAGCAAAGCACAGCACTATGAAGCAATCTGCAGCCTCTGCAGGGCAAGTTCAATGCCAGCCGGCCAGGGAGCT